CTTTCTTTTTTTGTTCAGGGCTAGTGCTCTATCACTTTGAGCCATAGCTCCACCTCCAGTTTTTGAGTGGTTAATTGGAGATAAAAATCTCACAGACTTGGGGGCTGGGAAGGTGGCTCAGTGGTAGAGCGCGCTTGCCTTGCATGCATGAGGCCCTGGGTTCCATTCCTCAGCACCACATAAGCAAAAAGAAAAAAGCCAGAAGTGGCACTGTGGCTCAGGAGGTAGAGCGCTAGCCTTGAGCTGAAATGCTGAGGGACAGCATCCAAGCCCCAGAGTTCAGGTCCCACTATCAGACCCCCCCCCCAAAAAAAAAAAATCTCATAGACTTTCCTGTCCCAGCAGGCTTTGAACTGTGATTCTCAGATCTCAGCCTCTGAGTAGCTAGGCTTATAGGCATGAGCCACCAGTTCTGGGTTGAGAAAAGCCTTTTAATAGGAAAATTATGAATTTCAGAATGGGCAGTATATCATACTTGAAATTGTGTTTCATTGTTACAAGCCATAATTGTTGATTTCAAATGGTTAGTACTTACCTTTCAAAAAGTCAGGGGCTTTTTTTAACCAATGTTTCTGAGTTATAGTTAGTTTTTCCCTTTAGAGATACTAAAATTCATTGATTCTATTTTTACTTTTTACTTTTAGTCCCCAAGAAACACATACCAGTCTGCTATGGGTAAGCAGGCCATGGGAGTTTATATAACCAACTTCCATGTTCGTATGGATACACTGGCCCATGTTCTCTACTATCCTCAAAAGCCACTTGTGACCACCCGGTCTATGGAATACCTACGATTTAGAGAATTGCCAGCAGGTATGTCCAGTTTGTTTAACGTTTTTAATACCTTGCTGTACTTAAAGCAGTTCACTGAATATTGGCAGGATTGAACAATATACACACAGTGCCTGTGTTTACAGATTTTATAAAGTGTTGGGAAATATGAATATAATAAAAAATGTGGGTATGTGAAAAGGGTTATGGTGGAGGTACAAAGTCCTTTGGAAGCAGAGAGTGACAAATGATGGATTCCTATGAGAAGTTGAGACCCACTTGGATGGAAGAGGGGATATTTTACACTGGACATTTTATACAGCTGAAGCATTTGTTTGAATTTGAGAGACACGTTGAGTAAAGCACCTAATTCATGAAGTCTAGAGTTGCAGTATAGTTAGTGGTGATCAGTATAGTGTAGCCTGAGGGTTAATATGTGGCAGTAAAACTTGGTCTCGTGGTATGCAGAGAGCCTGAACAGGTAGAATTTTATTTTAAGAATGACAATCCCGGGTAGCGGTATAATTAGTTGTTGGTTTTTGTTTTGTTTTTGGTGTCAGTACTAGGGCTTGAACTCAGGGTCTCATGCTCTTGCTTTCTCTGCTAATGGCTGGTACACTATCACTTGAACTATAGCTCTACTGATGGTTATTTGGAAATAAGATTCTTGGGGGTTTTCTACCCAGGTTGGCTTCAAACTGAGATCTTCAGTTCTCAGCCTCCTGAGTAGTTAGGATTACAAGTGTGAGTCATTGGTGTCTTGCAGAAATTTGTGTTAGAACTGTCATTTTGACAGTAGATAGCAGGAATGGATTAGAATTAATACTGCACTAGCAGGAGATACTTTAGAAATGTTTGCAATTGAGAGTGAAATGATGGTTTATAAAAATAGTTTTAAAAGCCTGGGTTTAGTGGCCCTGCCTATAAGATCAGGACTTGAGAGACAAGTAGGAGGATGGCAGATTCAAAAGCCTGCCTGGCCTATGAGATGGGAGCCTGTGTGAGAAAGGAAAAGCCTTTAAAAAAAGGAAGAAAGGAATGACATGTGAGTCATCTTCTAAGTATGCTTGATATAGGACTGGATGATTAGCTGAATGTGGGATGTAAAGAGTGGAGTTGAACTGGAACTATTGATGATGTTTTTGGCTTGGGCAATTGAAGAGAGATGTGATTAATACATGTAGCGGTAAGGGGCCTTGGTCTTACCACTACTGGGGGCTGGGAAGGGAGAAGAGAGAAATACGAAGATGATGTTAGAAGGAGGAAGAAGTTTTGAGAAGTAAAACAACTTCATATGTTTTGTTTTTTTGTTTTTTTTGGTCGGCCCTGAGGCTTGAACTCTGGGTTTGGGCACTGTCCCTGCACTCTTTAGCTCAAGGTGAATGCTCTACTGCTTGAACCAAAGTGCCACTTCTGGTTTTCTAGTGGTTTATTGGAGATGAGTCTCACAGAGTTTCTTGCCTAGACTGGCTTTGAACCGATCCTAAGATCTCAGCTTCCTGAGGAGCTAGGATTATAGGTGTGAGCCACTAGTGCCCGGCTTACAACTTTATATGTTGATGTTAAGTCACTTATTAGAAAACTAAGAAGTGGCAAACTGCAAATGTGAAAGGTAAAATCTAAAAGTGAAGTTAATATATCACTGGCATGCTTAGAGAGAAGTCATAATTAGCAAAAGGGTAGAGGCACCAAGAGAGACATCAGAAGAGAAGTCTTGAGTAGTTGATAAGGAGAGGAACAGAGCGTGTACAGGAGATGCTTAGGGAGTCTGGCCAGTAGTAAAATGACACAGGAGGGCTGAAGAAAGTGAGTGTTGACTATTTGGGAGACTATTTCTTTGAACTACTATTGTCTTTTGGCATTAATGGAATTTTTGCTTTGAATGTGGTCAGTACTCATTGTCTTTAGTAGTTCTGAATTTTTTTTTTT